AGAGAAAGGCTCCCACAGAGAATATGAAGACAAAGATTAAATCAGCGATACAACGTTGACATGCGTTCAGTTCCTGAAAAGTCTTTCTAAAAAAGTCTCCTCAGGAGCAGTTTTGCCACCACCTGGGAGGATCTCAAAAATCCACATTTAGGGAGCTGGAAGGGGGTGTGGGGGGGCAGGCATGTGAAGTCCTGGGCTTGGGCCAAGAACTTCTGCTGCTGATAAAGAAAGGCAGGAGCCTCTTGGCGGGCAGGCCAGCAGATTGCTAACTCGAGACTGCACCCCCCTCCCCAGGGCCCAACCCCAGACGCATCCTGCCCGGGCAGGCCTCTCCCTAGCTGCGCACCCGGCTGGGGCACCGCCACTTAATGCGGCAGACGCCTTTCCCAGACGGCGGCCCAGAGGTCCCACTGGCAATAGGACCCTACCAGTTGTAGTCTCTGGGTAGTGACAGCTGGGAGTTTCTAATATATCTATTTTTTTTTCTTCTCAAAGAAAAAAAAAAAAAAGCACAAAAACCACTGTTTAGGGCCAAGCCTGGTTTTCAAGAGCCCCCTCTAGTGGAGATAACCTGCTACTTCAGCATCCCCCTGCAGCCCAGATGGAGCCTCCCCTTGCCTGGGAAGACGGAGCAGAGCTCCCTTCTGCCTAGACTGTTCTTTCCCACTTGTTTTCTGTGTTTGCTCTCAGCTCTTTGTGCCCCGTTCACACTCTCAGTCTCTCTGTCCTTATCTTCCTTCCCCGTCACCCTGCTTCTCTGTGTGTCTGCGACTGTTCCTACATCTGGACTCGGGCTTTCCACGTGTGCCTTTGCCTTGCATCTTGTCAGTCTGCATGCTTGGTTCATCGGCTGGCTTTTTTTTTTTTTTTCCTTCTGAAGTTCAAGACGCCAGGTCTGATGAACTGGAAATGCTCTGACATGGCCTTGGATCAAATGACCCACTCTCAGAGAGCCTGAACAGGGACCCGCCAGCCAGATCACAGAAGCACCAGGACAACCCAGTGTTCCTGGAGGAGAAGGAAACTTGCACAGAAACTCTCCCCTACTCCATGCCCCAAGCAAACCTGGGCCCTGTGGGTTGATACATATGTTTGGAACATTATTGAACCTGAGCTTGGCGCTCCGGCTTTGGGGTCTTGAGTGGAACCAGCCTGCTCCCCTCTATCACTTCTCCCCACCAGCCCCCCTACTTCCTGGTCGCTGAGAGGCATGCTGCCATGAAACAGTAGGCAATGCCTGGGTGAAGGGACAGGGGGTGGGAAGAGGGTGCCCCTGCCAGGGAAGGGGAGGGGGGGGTGGGGGCTAGGACTGAGCCTCTGGCTGGAGCAAGGAGGGGAGATGGCGCACATGTTCTGCTGAGCCAGAGGGGGCTGCAGGGAACACCTGCTGGGCTTCTGGGTTTCTGAGACTGATCTTTTCCCCCAAGCGGGAGACCTGGCCAAGGCAGGGCAGGGGGTTAATGGTTAACCAACTGTAGGAGCCGGGAACTTCTGCACTGCTCAGGCCTAAGCTTTCTCTTTCAGCTCTCACCCTCCCCTCCTCCTCTTCCTTTACACTCTTGCCCAGTAGGGACCCCGCTCCCCGACAAAGAACTTTCTCGCCTCTATTTCTGCCCTTGAATTCCAGATGGAACAGTGTGGAGCTAGATAAAGAGGTTCCATATGCCCCAGTGCCAGGGAGTGGGGCCCCGGAGAGCCTGAGGGCTAAGCCGAGGAGAAAAGGGGTGTCCCATTCTTACCAACCGTCCCTCCCAGGGCGCCTTGGGACCAGCCGTTTGACCCCGCAAAGAACTGCCTTTCTCTGTCTCTGCAGGGCTCACCTTTAGAAATGACCAAAAAAGAAGTGGATGCACACCCAGCCTTCATTTACTCTAATCAGGCATGAAATCTTTGTAACTAAGTGAAAAAACTGTTCCATTCATCATTGTTGGAGCTGAGCATATGTGGAGGGGAGAAAGAGATATTATATTCACATATAATGAATTGATAGCAGACTGCCCCTGGGTGAGGGTGGTGGCGATGGGGCTGGGGGTGCAGACGAGCAGGAAAGCAACAGCACCTCCAAGCCTGTTGCCACCAGGTTCTCTGTGGACAGTCCTGAATTATTTGTAGCTAACAGACTGTAACACAATGCTCTGGGCTCTTTACAATCAAGAATGGGGGGTGGGGTGGGGGTAGGGGCTCTGGCTGGGCTTGGAGCTCCTTACCTCTCCATTTGCCACGATGGGCAGAAGTATATGGGGCCCCCGTCTGTGTGTGTGGAGACAGCTGTGTGGCAATGTGGAGAGACAGCTGGGGGGCTGGGGGGCGGCTGTTGCTGCCGGGGACAGGAACCGCCTCCCCCCACAACAAACCTCGTATCTTGGGGCGGCAGCTGCAGGAAAGGAGGCAGGATAGAGACTATAAACCCCCAAACAGTGAGAACTCAGCACTGTAAATATTCCACAGCACCTGAACGGGTGCGTTTCCACCGCTGCTGGCTGGTGCCTTATATACTTAACTGTGGCCCTCCTTGCCCCTCCTGCACCTGTGCTTTCTGGTATCTTACCCATGAAATAAAGATTAACGGAATCATCAGAAGTATTCACAAATGGGAAAGGGGCCTAGTGGAGAAGTAGCTGTTCTTGGAGGGTTTTCTTGTTCACCTCATTTTAAGCACAGACTTCAGCATACCAGATGGGGAACTTACACATTTACTACACCTGCAGCTTTTGATGGTCAAGCATGTTGGGGAGGGTGAATGCTCCCCAGCTCTTTGGGGACAGGGATAGGTACTTAGGCCAGCTCTGAAAGGGGGGTCACCGACCTTATAACGACATGGTTTCTTTTGGGGGATGGACGTGCAACACCACCGTTTGCTCTTCATTTGGACGTGGGTTGAAAGGCCAACCAGCCCCTCTGCCCTGCTCCAGACTGTGGGGTACCCCAATCCTCCCGTTCTGTTAAAGAGAAGGGCCGGGGGGGGGGATTCTTCTGCCAGATTCATGACCCCTGGGCAGAGGAGACCTTCTGGTACTTTACTTTACCCCTTTGGATCCTGCTGATCCTTAGCAGCATCCCCACTGCACATCACTCCAAATGTCATTTCCATTTAACTGCTTTGCAAGCCAATTTGCCCCGTTCTAATGCAATTTGCTGAGGACGGTGAGGGAGCAGAGAGGGCAGCCTGCATTGCTCTCCCTTTATCAGCGGGTCCCCGAAGAGGGAAAGGCTCTTTCAGGTAACGCAGGGAGGGCAAGTTCTGGGATGAGGAAGGGTCGGGCAAAAGGCGGAAATGCCAGGTGGAAGAATGGAAAAGAAAAACCACCTCGCTAGGATATCTTGACAGATCTCTCTCAGTTTCCTAGGTTCCCTACCCTCTCCCCTCACTCCACACTGGCCCCCCATCACCACCCCCTAGGGACAGCTCACAGGTAATTATTTCAAATGGTGCTGTGTGAGGTGAGGGGGAAGTTAATGAATGCTCCTCTCTTGTAGGGAGGTCAGAGGAGAGAGGGCTGCTAGCAACTCCAGGAGCTTTCTGGGGTGATTGCACAAAACTTGTGCATTTCAATTAGGAAGAGCAGAATTCCTCCAGCCAGAGCCATCTCTTCTAGGGCTCTGTCGCTCTGTTGAAGGCCCCAGAATCCAAAGCCTGCCCAGAGGGAAGAATGAAGTTTCAAGGTCTGGGAAAGAAGCCCAGCAAGACAGGAGCCTGCTTCTGTGTTGGGGAGGGGAGGGCTGAACTTGACTCCTCGTCTTAAAACGACCAGCCCAGCCCAGATACCCATCTTAACTGCTCACAAACCTTGTCCACTGTGCTTGTGAATAGCAGGAAGGGAATGAATGGATCCCCACATCTGTGTGGGTTCCTCTGAGCTGCTAGAGCCCCAAACCACTGCCACAAGCTACAGCTGGTACCCCCCCCCCCAACTGGTCCGGTCCCTATGTCCCTTTCATAGACACTTCTGGTATGCGACTATCACCCTAGGATCTTACATTCCTACAGGAGACCTGATCAGATTCCATGGCCCATTTCATGGGGCTGTCATTCCTAGACTCTTAACGGACCTAGCACTCCAAGTCTTTTACCCACCTCACCCCCCATCATCTCTCACTTAGAGCTGAGTTTGAGCAAGCAGCTCCTCCTAGGGCAAGGGTCATGCCGAACAGGTGGACATTTGTCACGGACCTGGAATGGCAGTTTCCGGTGACTCTCTTTGCTCACCCAGACCAAGATTAATATTTACAGAGACTACCTGTGGGATGGATAAAAAGAGCTAGAATGTTCTAAGATCCCTCCATCACTTGTGGGGTGGGGCAAGAAGGAACACATGGAGGGAAATATTTTCGAATGGTTTATAAGGAGCTTTTCGGACCCTGGGCCATCTCCTGCTTCAGCCCCCAACCCTCTCGTGCTGCTCAAACCAGAGGATGGTGCTGATGGGTGCTTGACCACGAGGGAGCACAGAGAGGGTCATGGAGCACTTAGCCCCACTCAGTGCCTTGGACTCGCTCCCTGAGCCTCACGGACCCCGCGCAGATGATGCATTCCCCTTCCATTCCCAAGTCCCCTGATCCAAAGGAACGACCAGCGGCCGCCAGGGACTCAGGCCCCCAAATCCAGCGCTGGCCACAGTGGCCTCGGGCTCCCTTGCTCGTGCCAGCGAGGCCCGCTTTGGGCGCCAGCTATCGGGACGGCCCCGCCGCCTCCGTGCTCCCCAAAGCCGCAGAGTGCCAGCAGGTGCGCGGCAGAGACGCGCCGCGGAGCGCCCTCCCCGCCAGGAGCCGGCGGCCGGCGGGGAAGCCCCGGGCGGGAGGCGGCGGCTCTGAGTCCGCCCGCACCCGGCGCACGCCGCGTTCCCGCCCGCGAAAGTGGCCGAGCCCGCACGGGGACTCGCGCGCCGCGGCCGAGCCGCCGTGCCCGGGGCCGGGACCCCGACCAGGCGGGCGGGCGCGCGCTCGGGGAGAGGGCGGAGGGCGCCGGCGACTCGGAGCGCCCGGCCCCAGGCGCCGCTTACCCAGCTCGCCGACGTCGGTCTGTCCTTCCGCTCCCGGCCGGTCCGCCTCGGCCGCCGGCTGCCGAGGGCGGCGCGCTGCCCCTCTCGCTGCCCGCAGCTCGCAATCACGGGGACGACCAAATCCACATGGAGTCCAAATTCATTAAAATCCACGTCCAGCCGCCAGCCACTTATCTGTATTCCTGAAGTGGCCCCTCGGTCTCCGGTCCGCGCGCCCCTCAGTCCCCCGTCGCCCCGCAGCAGCCCCGCCGCGCGCTGTCGCCGGCTCGCGGGGGGGAACCCGGAGGCGCCGAGGGGACGTGTGGGGGTGGCTGGCCGTGTCTCTCCTGGGGAAGCAGCAGAGCCCCGGCTGTCTTAGGATTTTTCCAGCGCGACTTTCCGGGCTCCTCTGACATCAGCAAGCCCGGCGCTTCCTTCCCCTCTTGCTCCCCGGTTCGGTCACAGTCCCATTTCCTCCAGGAACCTGGCTTTCTAGATCTATTTCGGGGCTGGCTCGGCTCGCTCCGGCGCCCGCGCTCTCCACCGCTCCCCAGCTCGCGGGGTCTCTCTCCGGATCGCTCCCCCTCCGGGCTGACAAATTCCCAGCAACTGCGCTCGGCCACCCTCCCGCTCCAGTCTGGCGCGGACGCCGCTGCGCCGGGCAGCTCCGGCTCCCGCGGTGGTGGCGGTGGCGGTGGCGGTGGTGGTGGTGGCGGCGGCGGCGGCTGAGCCCACAGCGCCGGCCTCCCTATATTACCATGCAGCTCATTATCATAGAGGCCGCGCGCGTTAACCCCCTCCCTGCCGGCCGCGCCCGCGCCCGCCGCTGGCACCGCCGCGCCCGCCAGCCCCCTGCCCCCGCCCCCGCCCGCCCGGACTGCCTCCTCGGCGAGCTGTCAACAAAGGAGAATCAGGTTTGGCATCGGGAGGCCGCCGGGCTGCCCGCCCTGAGCCCAGCTCAGCCCGGACCTACCGGCCACCTTAAGTGGCCAAGGGGGCAACGAAAATCTGCCAGGGCCTGGGGATTCCGGTGGGGGCCCTGTGAGCTCAGCTGGCGTAGCCCCCTTGCGAGGAGCTCAGGACGCCAGCAGAGTGGGTGAGGGCAGTGGGGATATGCCCCCCCCCCCCCCGCCTTAGCATCACCTGTCACCGCGCCCATCCTGCACACCTCCGTCTTCATCTTTAATTTGAGTGAGGGGTGAGTGGGGAGGAACGGGCCTTGGCTGATGAGGTTGAGAAGGGGGCCTCAGAATCCGTGGGAGCAAATTTTCTCTGGTAGTGAATTTCAAAAAGCCAACAAGCTGTCAAATGAGGTTTGAAGTTATTATTAATTATTATTTTTATAATGCAAAGGTGAGCTTTGCTCTGAAGTTCAAGTTTCCAGGTCTATTAGGGATCCTGGGCACCTGGCAAGCGTGGGGGAACCAGAGGGGCACTTTCCATATCCAGGCCCAGGGAGCTTGCCTGGCAGGGCAAGCAGAGGTGGGGGTAAGATAACTTATTTTAATAACCTAAGGTGAGAGGTTTCTGGATTCCAAATGGCAATGCCTCGGTGGTTTTACGACCATTGATTCCGTGCCATAGAGTCTCAGTATGTCCGCAGTGCCTGGACGCGGCTTTCCGAAAGAGGCCTGCAAGCTAGACCCCAGTGAGTTCGCAGGATCTGCGTAGTCCCTGCTCGCGATTAGAGCACAGGCGAGTTTACTCAACATGTTCAAGTGTTCTGATAAGCTCCATCTACTGCCCTCTGGTGGCCACAGTCCTCAGTGGTATAAACAGGAAAAAAAAAAAAAAAAAAATCACTCCTGGGAGCCCTGGAGGGAGTCCATGAAATTCTCTGAGCAGGAGCTTAAGAAAAAGGGTGGTGGTAATTAGAAATTTAGACTCAACGGTGGTCTTGCACAATCGTCCATTCAACACAGTGTAGGATGTGTGTGTAGGAAAATCTAGGCTTTACTTCATCCACAGAAATTAACTAATTCTTCAGAAGTTCTTTCATCATTGTAATTAGCTGAAATTTGTCTCCCTGTGACTTTCACTGGTTATTCCTGGTGTGTCCTGTGGAGCCACATAGAATCCGTCTAAGCTGTTTTCCCTGATCCATACTTGCTTTTCTCTTTGAACTACTTTAGCATTTATTGTTGGCATCCCTCCAGGCAATTATCATAAGTTACCCCATATTATTATTTATTTCTCTTTATAAGTAGGTCTTGTCTCCCCATCCAGACAGTCTTGTCTACCCTCTTATCTCTGAGTAGACTGAATATAAACCACAATTTATTAAAGAATATGATTTGAAGAAGATGCTAGAAGATTTTAGAACAACATTTCTCCCATTTGATCGAAACATGGAACATCAGTCTGGCCAGCTACACCCAAGACAGCCAGTGGTAGGGTTGAAAATATCCAATTGATAAAGCTTGAGGCTGAAAACTAGGACCTTCTGGTTCTAAATCAAATGTTGTGTGACCCTGGAAGGGGGTCACATCTCTTCCCCATGCCTCGATTTAATCACATCTTGGGAAGATTATAATACGATTTAAATAATTGTCTCATACCTCCTCCCCCACCCATGGTCCAGAAATAAATCCTAGAATGAGGAGCAAGACAGGATAAAATGAAACAGACCCCTCCACTCACCCCATCCTTCCTCCTCAGCCTCCCCCATGCTTCCCAAATGCAGGGAGGGGAAGAGAGAGAAAAGACAGGTGGAAGAACACACTGTAGGCAGCATAACACAATATCGCCAAGTTTCCACATTGTCACTGAACACGGTCTAAGATCTGAGTTCTGTGAGGTTATGGGAGTACCTATGGCCAGCATAAGCCCCAGAAGCACACTAATCCAGTCTACTGAGCTGTCGCCTGGATGAAGCACACTTAACATTTCTGGGCCTCAGTATGTCCATCTGTAAGATGGGAGTTTCTACCTTCAATCTTCACATAGTTGATGGAATTAAAATGGATCTATGTAAAACCATTGGAAGAATTATTAGCATCATTAAAATGGAAAGATTTTTTTCATATTTTTAGTCCCAATAAGCTAGAATAAATATGGATCTTATTAGTTAAGCACATAATTATAACGATGTATCTTGGGAATAAAAAAAGAACAACTCAAGTTCATGGTTTGTATTTAAATATAACATCCCATGTGGCAATGACAATATACATGAGCTTTCAGTCTTTAAAGGTGCTCCACTAAGCGCATCCCTTTGATCACTGGGTATTCATTCATTCATTCATTCATTCATTCATTCATTCATTCATTCCATAAATATTATTTATTAACAGTACATTTATGAGATTTCTTTTTTTAAAGGAATTGTATACAGTACATGATTATCTCTTCACATACTTTTTAAAGAAATCATGCTATGGGACGCCTGGGTGGCTCAGTCGGTTAAGCATCTGCCTTCAGCTCAGGTCATGATCCCAGGGTCCTGGGATCGAGTCCCACATCGGGCTCCCTGCTCCGCGGGGAGCCTGCTTCTCCCTCTGCCTCTGCCTCTGCCTCACTCTCTCTCTCTCTCTCATGAATAAATAAATAAAATCTTTAAAAAAAAAAAAAGAAATCTTGCTAATAATCATGCTAATAGGCTCCATACCCTCAGACCTGTCTATGTCTTCGTGGAACTCGAGTTTGATGTCTTCTTCTTCATCCTGTCCAGCTGGTGTCAAACCCATCGCCCCTGGGGACTCATGGAGCCTCTGCCAATGCCTTGTAGTTCATCCTCATTTCCACGGGGACAGACGGTCACAGCCCAGCACAGTTCTGGGCAAGTAGTGGGTATTTAATAAATACTTATCACATGAATGAATGGATGGATGGATGGATGGATGGTTGGATGGGCATCTGTTTGTCGTATGCCAAATTCTCATCTTTGGAAAATCCTAATAAGTTCAACAGGGTTCTCCTCCACCCCAGCCCGCCCACCTGGGCCAGTGGCGGTGCTCCTGAAGCCTCACCCCTGCAAAATCATCTGTGGCTGCTTCGCTCTGTTATTCTGGGCCCCCCACCCCCACCCCTACCTGTTCTTTGCTTGTCATTAGATGGGTGACTTGGGGAAGAAGATCAGACAAGTGGAAGAGGACGAGGCAACAGCATTCTAGAAATGGAGCTGAGCTTCTTTTCTGGGAGAAATGAGTAAGTATTTCTCCTGCAGAGGGCAAGTCTGGTTGAGCAGCCCTCCTCAGGCTCTGGAAAGCGAACCTTAGACGTTGGGGAGAAGAGGCCCAAATGGGCAGCCAGCCGATCCCCAGAGGGAGTTCTCGGCCACTGCACCAGCTCCAGCCCCGAAAATAGACGCCAGCGCAGTAGCCCCTCAGATCCCCAGAGGTGTTTTTGGTGCTGGAAGCCAGCCATACTTCGGCAGGCTTTCAGCATGAAGTCTGCTCCTTTTCAGAGGTGGAGGGGGGCGGGTGGCAAGCCATCCGCGTTTTGCATGGGAACGTTGCCTGCAAGTGTGTGTGTGCATATATTTAGGGTGCCTGGAGTGGGATGGGGGCTGGGCCTGGGACGCAGTGTGCTCGGACCGCTGGGGTCAGAGGTCAGGGTCTCACACTTGCCAATGTCAACGGGGGACATTTGGGTGGTGCGTGGTCTGTAACCAGGCTTGCATCTAGCTGCCAAAGCTGGGGCCATCGCTGCCGCCACCAACTCGGGCTATCTCTACTCCAAACGCATATCATCTCTCAGGTGCCCTCACCCCGAGTCTTCCCATTTCAAGGCAGGGACACGTTCCCCTCGTGGGTGGGCCCCTCTGTCTCCCATGTCATACCTCACCTTCGCCCAGTGGACCCTGGTCAGGCAGCCACACAGCAGAAGCGGCAGGCTCCTCTACCCCCCCCATTGTTAGGAACAAAGAGATGGGTCTGACGGGCCAAACTGGAGTGCGTGCGCCAAGTCCCATGAATGGAGGCGAGGCTGCTGGGATGCCAGAGCGGTGAGCCTCAGGCTGGGCCGTGGGGACACAGGCCCAGGACACAGCCACGGGGCACCTGCTCTGGGATTCTCAGTACCATTCATAAAGATGTCACCCCCCTCTTGCCTCCCCTCTCATCTCTTCACAAATCCCGCTTTCCTGTGTACTTTAAACAGTAGCGAGCCTGTTAAGGCTCCAGATCAAACAAGGCAGGATTTCACTCCTTTCTCGCTAAACCTCCCACAAGCGGAGCTCATGTCCTGTATACCTCGCCCTCTTTCCCGAAGTTCCCTCCTCCCTCCATCCATCTGGTATGCTGCTCTGGGAGGAGAATATTCTCGGTGAGGCCCAACCAATTGCAGCCTAAAGCTACTTAAACAATTCCCTGCAACAAGCCACAAGAATCCTGCACGTGCAAGGGAAGGGGTCAGGGCGGGAGTTTGGACTGCTGGGCTTCGGGCGTGGGATGTGAGGGCTAGATGAAGTCCTCTGCTCACGATTTTGGCTACTGCTCTTGCCTGGCACCGCGAGTCTGTGAAAGAGCCTTCCTCCTTTATTTTTTTTCTAAGAGGTTCCCCCCCAAAAGAAGACACTATTTATTTGGTCTTGTAATTCCTGGCTAAGCCTCTCTGTGCCTCAGTTTCCCCCTCTATGAAGTGGAAACAATATCCCTTGCCTTGCATATTCTGCTTCACAAGAATCAAATAAGACACCGGCTGTGAATTGGAGAGAGTTATGCAAGCATATGGGGTGGTTGTCTTAAAATCATGAAGTTCCTTCCAGAACCAAACTTAGTTCTCCATTGCTATT